CTCAGTGGACAAAACAAGAAAAAGATGTTTCCAACCAGGTAAAAAAAACTGAAGGTAGCGGTAAAAAGAAACGCTAACTTGAATGATTCAGACTATTGTGCAGAGTTTCAGAGACAGCCAGCAACTACTGAGACATGAGAAGCCTGAATGGGTTTCACAGAGCAGTGGTGGTCTGCCCTGGCTGTCCCCTGGAATAGTCTGGGAGCCTTCAAAAAATATTCATGGCCAGGTCCCACCCCAGATCAATTAGATTAGAGGATCTGTGGATGGGGCTTAGACATCTCTCGGGTTTTTTTTTATAAGTTCTGGAGGTAATTTTAATGAAACTTATCCTGCAAGAAGTGGAATTTGAGCTAGATGTCAAAGATGATGGTATAATCTAGAGCTTTACTGGCCAGTATGTTAGCAACTAGCCACATGTGGCCATTAGAACTTTAATTAATTAATTAAAATGAGATAAAAGTCAGGTTCTCAGTTGCCTTGTCCCACTTCATGTGCTCAGTAATCACCATAAATTCTGTTGGAATGTGAACCAGATGGATGACAAGAGAGAAAGTGGATAATGATAGGAGGGAAGGCATAGTGTTTGGAGAATTCATTAGCGACTGCGGGGAGAAGTGACTAGCTGCTTTCAGCAGTGGGAACTTGTGAACAAAGGTATGTAAGAGCGGGGGTGGTAGGAGATGGTGATAGTGAGGGTCCCTCACTCAGACGGGAATACTTAGAGTTGAAGCAATAGCCAACAGGAAGTATGGAAAGATTGGATGTAGAAGAATGATAAAAGGGAAACTGTGTTAAAGCAAATGGCCTGGTGTAATTCAGGATGGATGGAGGATAGAGTAACTGGAGTTTGCAAAGCTGCTCTTTTCGTACCAGGCTCAATAGGAAGATGGGATGAAGACCTAGTCTAGTTAGCTAGAGCACGTTTCACTTCATTTCTAGTTTTATCTGGGAAGTCACACCAAAGCTCATTTAAGCTTAAAAAAAGTCAAAGATAGGATGGACTCAAACTTGTCAGCTTTCTTGAAGACATAAAGCTAGAGCTTCCGAAGTCATAATTTACAGTTAGGAGGGATTGTACAGGCCATCCAAGCCAATTTTCTCAGGTCATAAGTGAAAACATAGAGGTACGGGGATGGTGAATGAATTCCCCATGGTCTCACAGCTAACGCAAGGTAGATACTGAACCAGAGTACAGGCTTTCCAGTTTCCAGACTGGGAGTCCTTTTATTCCATACCACTTTCCAGATTTTAGTGTAGTGTATAGTAAAAGTCAAAGACAGTCACACACACAAAAATAGCTTTGTCATAAAGGTTTCAAAATGGAAGTACTTTGAGTAGGAAAGCAAAGAGCAAGAATGTAAATAATCAGTTGAAAATCAAAGATCAGATATTACTATTTTGTGCAGGAAAGTGGAAGTAGATTCTTAAATTTTGTGCTTTACATGAAACACCAAGAATGCAAGCATCTAAGCTCACCTTCTTTTACTTCTGTTAACGATATGATTGCTTCTTTTAGGGGTACCGATCATTTGATCTTTGGAGACTTAGCGTTATACAAAATCTTGTCTACCTAAGAGTCCATTACTCCTGTGAACTGCAATGCCTTATTAGAAACACACAGTGCTTTCTGTTACTGCTGCTTAATCTAAAGAAAAAAAGAAAAAATGAAAGGTTTCCCTTGGTAAAGTCTGAGTAGCATAGTGCTGCTAGACTGGACTACAAGATTCAGCCTGCAAAAGAAGGTATTCTGAGCTTTGTTTTGTATCAGTATTTATTATTGTATCAGCAGCTACATTTGACGTGCTTATAATTTATTAATAGTCTTTATCTGGAAGCAGAAGCAAATTCCATAATTCTCGTGAATCACATATCCTCCAGGCATTTTTTAAATCTAATATTTGTTTACTGTCACTGGTACTGGACATTTCTCATTGCAATTCATGCAGAAGCTGTTCATCGAAAACTGGTATCTGGCCTACTCCAATATTTTCCATTTTATTGGTCGAGGGGAGTTGGCTTTAAACTACCAAGCTTATAATTTATTACCGGAACAGACAATTTAAACATTTTAGGATGTGTTCAGGCACAGCTCAAAGTTTTAACAAGGCTGCTCTCTTTATTTCAGAGCCCTTCCCTGTCAAGAAGGCTCTTGTATTTTAACAAAGAAAACACTTTTTTTTTTTTCTTTCAGTTTTCCCTTGAGTTAGAATGTGTATTGAAACACTTTATGAGGAAGGTAATGTGGGGAAGTAAAGTTAATCTCCAGGAAGGAAAAAAAAAAGCTGGGAGTCTTTTGAGGTCATATAAAAAATAAGTGAAAAGATGGCCCAATTATTTTGACAGCAGATGGGATCTCTAAGCTGTTAATTAAGAGACTAACCATTAAGAACATGAAGACTCAAGTTTCTAGAGGTTTACTGCTTCTTTTCTGGTGTTTTGAGAAGATTTGATTATATGGTACTATTTTTAAATGTCATTTTATAGTTTTAAAAAATGACAGAAGAAGCACCTTAACAAAATGATCATCCTGAGGGGACGAGAGTAAAAAACCACCATATTCCAGGTTTTCATCTTACGTTAACTCCAAACTATTTCCCCCGTGGACAAAAGACCATTCATTATGAGAAGTAGGTGATATAATTCAACATGCCTATGCTAGGCCAACTAATAAATCAGGCAAATGGGTGCCCTAGGCAACAGAATGGTATCTTCAGCTGATGGGATAAATAGATGGATGGACAGACGGCAGAATGAACTGATGGATAGATGGGCAGACAGTATTAGTACTCATGTGAACAAATGCCACCCAGTGTTCATGTCAAATAGAAAAAAAGCAGGAAGAACCAAGAGAATTGCCAATTGGTAGATAGCCTCAGTAATGACAGTAGAAATAACTCAAGACACAGTTCTTTCTGGCACGAGCTTTGTCTTACTTGACTTTATATCCTCCGCATCTATCATAGTCCCTCTCATTCAGTAGTTCAATAAAGTTGCATAAATGGAGATAAAAGAACAGAAATAAGGACTCCTGGATGCGATGCTATCAAATTGCATTTCAGGGAACAAGAATGGGATATTTCCATTAGAATTGAAAAGAATCTTAGTATCACAGAAGGAAAACAACTGGAGTGGAAATAATGACTTTTAAAGATGTTCGTTCTGAAGCAGCCTGTCTAGAAAGCCCTGAGAAGTCCTTGATGAAGGGGAGAGATGTTGGTGACAGGGCTGTAGAATGGGTGGAATGTGCAGGGCCATGAAACAGGACCAGGCCAGGAGCAAGGAGACCAAGGTAGACCTGGATGTGCCGTCTCTAGCCGAGGAGTCCTGGGACAAACCTTCTGCGGGCCTAGTTTCTTATTATATTAAATAAACTAATTTATTTACCCCTTAGATTCTTTTCTAAGTCTAATGTACATTTTTATAATCCTTATGTTTTATTCTAGAAATCTCTTGTCTGACTCCCTGCAGTAAAGGTGATTACTCTTTGGGAGAAGGTGGGCAGAAAGCAGAAATATTGGTTATCATATTACTTTCATTTATGTTATGACTTGAAAAGTTTTTCATGTTTCTCAAATGTGATTTTATTATATGAAACCCTAAAATGCTAAGTCTACGTAGGATTTCCTAAAAGTAGCACCTGGAAAAATTGGGTTTGAGCCAAAAAAAATTACTTTAAAAGAGACTTCTCTAAAAACATGTTGATATTGGTATGTATTTGGAACTACGTATGCTACGTGCTAAAACCTTTGTATTCTTCCCTTTTTAAGAAAAATCATTCAGTGATTAGCATTGAGATACATGATAAAGCCTTATGTTTCATTGTTTTAAGCTTTCAAATTGGGAATTTCAAGGATCTGGTGAAGCACAGGTTCATCCCCAGGTTTGGCAGTCTGCAATTTTCAAATACAGTTTGAACTCTCCGTGCAACTATAGATTTCTTTCTAGATATTTATAGTAATGCACAGAGTGCAGAGGAGTGGATACCTATACCTGAATATTTGTTTCTCCTCTGTAGGAGGCTGGGAACAAAATGTTTCTGTTAGTAGAAAATGACAACAGTAAATATGAAGGGAGAAGAACCACAAATCAGCAATGATGCATATGGTAAAGCAAACATAGGGCAGCTTTATCCCAACGCAGAAACGCTTTGAAGAGAAATAGAGTTCAAGTGAAATCTGTTAACCCAACACTGTGAGCGGGTTTCAATGGAAGAGAAAAAACCCTGAGGCGAAAGAACTCTCAGGAGGGTCCCATAAAAGGCTGAAGTGGGGCGACGTCTGCCTTGAGTTGGTTTTCAGCAGAACAGCATTATGGGGCAGTGATATTAACATGCAGAAATAAGAAGAACGGAGCACTTCATCTTGTTGAGGAGAATCAATCTATATAGGCTTGTAGGACTGTGTCCTGTGGATTATTGGACTAGGAGCTGTGCCAGGTGCACTCAGAAAAATTGGGGTCTTCTGAATAAAGACATTTCAGGTGCGGTAAAGCTCCTATTGGTTTTATTAGTATTCTTAATCATAGCTACTATTTCTCATGTGACTGAGGATTTTTATCTCTACCTTCCAGATAAAGAAACAGAAAAAGAAAGAAGTAAAATGATATTTCCCACATCACTCTGTTGGCATGTTACAGGGCAAAGGTTTGAACTCATATTAATGTGATCCTTTTATTCGATATTTTTACATGTATGTATTTTTATTTCATTTGCATTTTCCAATAATTTTTAAAATCCATGTTGAAAATGTTTAGAACCACAGTTGTAATAAGAAGATCCTAGTGTTTCTATCTGAGATAGAACCTAATAAAACTGTTTAAAAGCTGGGATTTCTTGTAGATGGCTAGTGGGAAGCAGCCGCATAGCACAGGGAGATCAGCTCGATGCTTTGTGACCACCTAGAGGGGTGGGATAGGGAGGGTGGGAGGGAGACTCAAGAGGGAGGGCATATGGGGATGTATGTATATTTATAGCTGATTTACTTTGTTATACAGCAGAAACTAACACAGCATTGTAAAGCAATTATACTCCAATGGAGATATAAAAAAAATTTTTTTTTAAAGTTGGGATATCTCACTTTGAGGAGTTGGATGTGATGGTGACAGCTGTGGGCATCAATGTATATATCTCAAAAGGAGTTAAAGCTCAGCAGGACTGATCGATGGACCATTTCTTAGAACTGTTTATTAGGAAACAGTTTGAAACTTATAGAAGACTTGCAGTTTGAAACTTACAGAAAATTTGCAAGTCGTATAGAAAAAGACTGCCCAATAGCCTTTACCCAGCTGCACTTACCGTTTATAATTTGTCCTGTGTGCTCTCTTTCTGTGTAAACATTATTCTTTGTCCCATACTTTTGAAATTGAGTTACATACATCATGGCCCTTTGCTTTTAAATACTTTATGTGTATCTCCTAAGAAAAAGGCTATTCCCTTAAAAATCCACAGCAGAGTTAGTAGCTTAACTAATTTAACATCAACACGGGACCTCTGTCTTATCTACCATCTCTATTTCAGTTTTGTCAGTTCACCCACTCAGCAATGTCCTTTACAGCCTGTTTTCCCTCCAGTACAGGATACAATTAAGGATCACATATTTCTGATCCTTTACTTATCATGTTTCTCTGGTCTCCTTTAATTTGGAACAGCTCCCAGGAGCAGCAAGACACTTGAAAACTCTCAGAAAGTAATAGGATACCATCCTTCTAGGGGAAAAAGTTGGGTGGCTCAGAGGTCAGAGTGGAGACTGAGACTTGCATGCGAAATTCGCAGACCATCTTCCTGGGTGTGGTAGAGGTTTCCAGGGTAAATCCCAAACACCATTAATCAGGGGTGATAATTTGGCTTTTTGAGGTCTTTCAGGACACCTGAGAAGAAACGTTTCTCAACGTTGTCCATCAGCTGCCTTCTATCTCAGCTGCCTCTGGGATAATCCTCTCCCTGTGTGAGGGCCGACCTGGAGGGCAGTGCTGAGCCTCTGATCAGGCGCTATCCCATGGATGCTCAGGGAACAGAATCCCGCTGAATGGAGCATAGATGTTTCTGAAGGTCTGAGGATCTGTGCCCTTCTTCAGCCAAGGACTGCTGGTGGGAATGTCAACTGAAGACCTCGAGCAGGAAACCTTTGTTACTTGAGTTTTTTAGGCAAGAAACAATGAAAAATTACTGTATCCACTTCAAGAAATGAATAACAGAAATGGAAAACTGATCGTAACAAATTGAATACAGAATACTAAAGCGTAGTATTCGTGAATAATGAATATCAGCATGTTGTCCAAAGAAAGGGGAATGAGAATGAAGTCCCCGACTCTCATTCTTTTTTTGTCTTTTAGCATCAGCAGGGCCAGGAAGAGGATCATTAACAGGAAGGTGGAACACTCACAGGTGCGTTTCTGCCCCTTAAACACTGTGCTATCCAAGGGTTGACCTTAAACTCTCTGTGGGGACCCAGGTTGACAATCTCTGAGGATGTCAGTTATTAGACTGACTCCTTTCTCAGAAACAGGGCCATCAAAAGGGAAGTCCAAAGGAGGGAAATTCCCGGGCCAGCCATGGGAATAAAAGTATGACAGAGGGCTTTCCTAGTGGCGCAGTGGTTGAGAGTCCACCTGCCGATGCAGGGGACACGGGTTCGTGCCCCGGTCCGGGAAGATCCCACATGCCGCGGAGCGGCTGGGCCCGTGAGCCGTGGCCGCTGAGCCTGCGTGTCCGGAGTCTGTGCTCCGCAACGGGAGAGGCCACAACAGTGAGAGGCCCGTGTACCGCAAAAAAAAAAAAAGTGTGGGGCCCACCTACTCAGTGGCGGTGTGGGCTGCAGTGTACACTAGTCAGGGTTATTACATAAGTTAATATTTTCACTGTAAAATCATTAATTTCAATATAATTATCGATTAAACTTACATAGATGTCACGATACCCTGTGATGTTTTCTTAAGATATTCAAATAAATGCATTACAATGTTGCATTGATTCATAGAAAAAATTTGAACTGAATTAATTCATTGGCACCGACATGTGCTTTATATGATACTAGAAAAGATGCACTAGCACCTCACACATAGTACAATATATTACAAGATGCAATAGTTAGCGCAAAATGGAGGACTAAAGTGGTATTAAATTGAAAGATAGTTTACACTGTCCGTTGATGGACATTTAGGTTGTTTCCATGGCTATCATGAATAATGCTACAATAAACATGGGTGTATCTCTTCAAGATCCTGATTTCAAGTCCCTTGGATATATACCTGGAAGTAATTCTATTTTTAATTTTTTGAGGAGCCTGCATACTATTTTCCATAGTGGCTATACCAGTTTCTATTCCCACCAACAGAGTACTACTCTTCTCTTTTCTCCACATCCTTCCCAACGCTTGTTATCTTTTGGGTTTTTTGATACTGGCCATCCTTCTCCAAAGAAGATATGTAGATGGCCAACAGATACATTAAAAGGTGTTCATATCACTAATCATCCAGGATATGCAAATTAAATCCACAGTGAGACAATCACCACCTCAGCTTTGGGCCAAGGCCACAAACTTTCTGGGAAGTCCTCAGCCAATGTCTGAGCATGGCAGTGGCGGGGGGCTTCTAGGACCTAGCCATTTTGGCAGGACACAGCAGTCTTCTATCTACAGTTCCTGATGGGCTGGTGGAGAGTTTGCCTACAGCTCCTCTGCCCAATCCTTCCCCCTCCCTGCTTTCCTTTCACAAGGTTCAGATGTGCACTATCACCTAATATCTTTCTTTACCCAAACCTGCTTCTTGCTCCCTTGTCTTTCATGGACATCATCACCCCTTCTCCCCCAATAAAAGTTTTAGCCCCAAATTACCTTTTCATGTCTGCTTCCAAGAGACACAATTCCTTAAATTGTTTTCCTTTTCTTCTGCTCTGTGATTGCTTGAAATTTTTAGTGTCTCCCATCCTTCCTTAGGGATGTTTTTAGATTCTCTGGCAGTAAAATCCCACATATTTCTGCACAAAACTTAACTGAAATCTACATGGCTAAAGTTTATGTTTATCAAGAACTGTAAGGTGATATATTCATGTCCTCATATTCTGAAGTCTTTTTTTCCTTTTTTGCTAATAATCACAAATTTTCAATGTTACCAAATCAAATAATTGTGGAGCTGCAGCCACCTTGCCCAACGCTGCTCTTTTATAGATGATATGATGTAGCTGAGGGCCAGAGTATTTAAGTGATTCATCTCAAATTGCAAGAATTATAGGATGAATTTCCTTCAGAAGTTAATTGTCTCAAGAGAATTTCTTCACTTTCATGACATTTCTAATCAGAAAGTGTCAGATCCTAGCCCTAAACTGCTCATGTACTAATCTTACTAAATTACTTCCTAATGTCTTTAAGATTATTTCACTCATCTGAGGTTTGATAGATTAGCCCTGTGTATGTGATGAGTGCATTCTCCTTGGGGGTATATATTCCATATATGCTGGGGAAAGCTATTTGCCCGGGGTTAGATTAGCAAGGAACAAGGTGATCATGGAAAGCCCATTAATTAATATATAATTTAATTAGTTCAGGCCAGGAAGTTAATATAGAGTACAGTATTAAAAGATATAAAAGTGCTAATTAATAATGAAAAATGAATTTAGATAATCTATGGGATTTTTTAAAAGTATGCTTTTTTTTTTCTCTTGTTCTTTCCATGGCTCCCCACCTTCCTTCTTCTTCATCCAAATGGCTACAGCTGTGATTGTCCATTATTCGATCAACAGTTAACCCCCAGGAACAGAATCTAGGATTTCCCAGGAAGGCATTATTAGCCTCCTTTCCTGCAGACATTGTGGTGCATCTTGGGAAGAGAAACTCAAATTAGCTACCAAAAGGTAAGATAGAACTGGGGGTGCCTACTCAGACTTGGGTAGGAGGCAAGGAGGGTGGCAGTTTACAACAATTATACTTCACAGTTCTGAAAGGATTAAACACATACACACCCAGTTAATCTGACCCCAGGAGGCATGCAAGCAATTTTCTTCCCCTAAGTAATTCTGTTAAATGTATCCATGTTTTCATTAACTGCTGAAATAGTTTTTTCTATTCATTGTAGGGTTATACTGTACTTGTTTTGTGTTAATAAGTATTTATCCTCTTACCTTATACTATTACAGTCATTAACTGCAGTGTGTAAATGTACTAGTTATTACTGTCTAATTTTTGTTGAAAAAAGCACAACAAAGGAGTGAAGGTGAAAAAAACATTACATAAAAAGCATGCAGCCAGAGTTTCTTGCCAAGTAGCAGGGCACTGAATTCATGACATTTAGTTTCTGTGCCCAACAGCTATGTCCTATGGTTTTATTGAAAGAGAATACTGATCAGCCCAGGGAAAATAATATTCTTGAGAATTGCACATCTTGGAACTGAAGAAAATGAGAAATTGGAGGGAAACTACCCATGAGGTACTGCCTCTCCTCCCTCCCTCCCTCCCTTCTTTCCTTCCTTCCTTCCTCTCCTTCCCATCCCCTCCTTCTTCTTCCTCTTTTTCTTTTTCTTGTTCTTGTTCTTTTTTTTTTTTTTTTTTTTTTTTGTTCGCGGGCCTCTCACTGTTGTGGCCTCTCCCGTTGCGGAGCACAGGCTCCATACGCGCAGGCTCAGCGGCCATGGCTCACGGGCCCAGCCGCTCGCTCCGCGGCATGTGGGATCCTCCCGGACCGGGTCACAAACCCGTGTCCCCTGCATCGGCAGGTGGACTCTCAACCACTGCGCCACCGGGGAAGCCCTCTTGTTCTTTTTTTTAATGGAAACAATTTAACTGTGGACCAGGAAGGCATCAGAAGTAAGATACAGATAAGATAGGGTAGCTTCCAGTCAACAGTATCCATTTGGAAAGTTGGTTACCACACAGAAAAAGAAATGCACAACGTTAAGAACTAACCATAAGGAAAAGTGAAATTAAATGCTAGTAAGTGATACAAAAAGAATAAGCATTAAGGGGGAACAAATGCATGTATACATGGCTCAGTTACTAAAAAAAAGTCTCATAGCTGTCAAAGCACTTCAGGGATGTTGTGGATAAGCAATGTCTTGAATATGACTCTTTTTTGTACACAATATTTTAAATGAAACAAAATCTGGGGAGAATGTAGCAAGTGCAGCCTCTTCACTATGCAGTATGTTAATGCGTCAGATTGGTTGTGCTGCTGAACAGCTTGAGGGAATGGCAGTATTTTAATAATACTATATGGTAACCTGGCCTTTATAGATCATCTCTGTTTACCTGCAAGATGGTATTAGCTTAAGTACAGAAATGTCATTCCTATAGCTATATATCACTTGATTTTTATTTGAATTAGTAAGGTAGCATTTAAGTCTTTTTTAAGGAGAGGAATTAGATTTGGAGGAGAGGAATGTTGATTACTGAACATAAAAATATGTATTTGTCAGGGTTGAATGTAGGTTCCAGGGTTGAATGTAGGTTCCAGTAATTATCATTTGCTGTTTTTTGACCATGAGAAGGTTACCTCAATTTCTTACTAGTTGCAACCTAAAGGCAAAAATAATGGAGCATCCTGGAAGTATATCTGCAGTCCTGTTTCTTTGTCTTGAATTACTCTAAAATCCGTTTCATACACATTATTTAAAGAAAGGCCATTGGCACAGATGGAGAATCTGAAGCGCAGAAAGGTTGTCTGTGATTAGCTATAAGCCGCACTTATTTATGCTACTTGCACAGGGTATATTCGAAAATTTACATGTTTTTTTATTCCATTTTAGTGTTTTTCTTTTTTGCATCAAATGATTTCTCTGTATAAACAATCTGTGTTGATCGATTTTAAAAATGCCTTAATCCGAATGTCTCGGAAGGCGACAGGCGACAGTGCTGGCTGCCACACACCACCTCTCAACAGCATCCTGTCCAGGAGCACTGCTGTTGGTCTTGTCCACTACAATGAATTATGCATAACTGGAAGGCTAGTTGTTGGCATGGAAAAAGTGTGACATGTTAGATTAAAATTAAATATTGAGTAGGTTTCCTCCTAGAGGCATGAATCAAAGAAAAATGCTTCTTTTTCATCAGTGAATGTGGAGGCTTCCTGTTAACGAGTCTTTGCACAAAGGAATCTGACTGTCACAACATGGTGCAGAACACTGAGTACATCACGCCCAGCTCTGTCCTCCAATGCTGGTTGGTGTCACAAGGAAGTCCCAACAGTTCTCGGAAATGACTTGGCGATGAGAATCTTCCTGTAGACTCTGCTGTTTTTTCCATGCACCCTTTATGGCCTTTGGTTGAGTGGGACCTGAACTTAACCCACAGACCCATTAGGGGCAGTCGTAAAGCAAATTACAACAATAACTATGTCAACCATGAAATGGACGAAAACACCCCCAGATGATGCCCCTTTCCCTTCCTCACTCAGGAAGGCTCAGTGAGCAAGCCCTGGGAACAAGAACCTACTGAGAGAAGGTGAAGGACTAACTAGGAGCCACTCTGACAGGCCTGGGAAGGGAAGGAAGGAGATACAATAGCCACTGAGCAAACCAACCAACCTTCTCCGAAAATATCAACTCCAAATTTAACTTGCATTTGTTGGTCAATTTCCTTGTCGGTTCCTTCTTCCCTTTTTTATAATAACACATTGGAAGAGAATGAAAATATGGTCTCTACTTTTCAAAGCAAAGTAAACCAAGCACCAAAAAAGATGTTATTTAGGATATGTCTATTACAAACTTGGCTCTCGCAAACCGATCCAGTCTTTTCAAGATCCTGGATTAAAATCTCTTCGGTCCTTCTCCTGATATGGTAGCTGACGTTAACACTCGAGACTTGGCTAGGGATATCAAAGGTCATTTCTTTTGCAGGGATCGGCATGTATCTGGGTGTTTATTTCTCTGCTAACTAGAGGTTTCTTTGCAGATATCGGACTGCTGTCTCTGACGATGTTCCAGTGCCCCCTGAGGGCTTCTGAGTGTAATAAAAGCAAACGAAAAAGCGGCTTCGTATGAAATAATTCACTATGCAGGAACAAAGCTGAATGTGGGACTCAAAGGATCTCTGAAGTAAAGATTAACCGCCAGTCATCAGGAAACCTAAAGTCATTTGAAATAAGAGGTGCCACAAGCCAGAAGACAGAAGCCATAAACACATACAATATTAATAAAGCAATTACAGTAAGTGCTATAACGCTCTGCTTTTCAAATCTCTTGCCACTTCAAGAAACATCTGTCCCCGCCACTAGAAATTACTGTTAAAAAAACCAAACCAAACCAAACAAGCTGTGCTTTGTGTTTCAGCTTTTCATTCAGTATCCTGATCAGCCAGTCCACTGCCAAAGCTTCAATACCAATTTAATAGCCTATTCCCTGGGTTGGTTTTCCAACCAATGTAGCCAATTGTACTTACAGTAAGCAGAGGAGCGATTAGCTGATGCACTGCATTGTGCAAACTGCCTGGATCCAATCACGCATAATGTCTCAGGGGAAATTCAAGTGACCAGATGAATCCTTATTTAGTAGAAACTGGCTTGAGCCTTAGCTTCCCCAGATCCTGAAAGTTGTTGGTTCCTTATATATTTTTAAAATAAATTCTCATGTTTAGTTACAGTGCACATGTTTGTTACTTTGTTGCTGGTCAGTACACTTCAGACATGCCTGCTAGAGGGAGGAGACATGGTGATGAATGCACACCTTTTCAAAAAACCAGATTGGCCTGAGTTCTATTCCCTGTTTGAATGGGAATGACACAGATTCTCTGAAAGTTTCCTTTCCCACATTTTAAAATAGGAAATTTAATTCCTCCCCATCTCACAGGGGATCAGATGGAAACTTTTCCTGAAAATGCTGTGTATACTGTAGAGAGCCCTAACAGGGTAAGGATTCCCCCATACATGAGTTGTGGTACACTTTATCCTGGAATAGCAACCTATCTTAGAAAATAATTGAGAAGAAAGGCAGCCATGTCCCTAAGTAATCACTGACCCTTCCACTGAAAAGAGACACAACAACAAAGCTGAGGGATTCAGGAAACAGGGAATGAAGTTTGCTTCAATGATGAAGAAAGAGACAAAGGTAGTAGTGGTTTCTTAAATGGAAGATTATGACAGAAGATAAATTTCAGACGTCCACTACTTGGGGTTGTAGATCTGAATGAGCAATTGAGTTAAACGTTCACCCCAGTATTTAAATTAGAAACCCTTAAAGTCTCCCTAGGTTTCTTTTCTACACTTATCACAAAGTCCTGATTTCATTGATCACCAGCTCTCTCTTCTTGCTATCTGTGTCATAAAATGGGCTTCCTCTTTTTATTCTCCTTCCCACGGACTTTGTTCAAAGCCATCTCCATTCTTGCCAAGACTTCAGCGGCCTGCTGAATGATCTGTCTGCTTGTGGCCTCCTGCGCCTTTCATCTGTTCTCCAAATTGGTAACAGAATGTTTTCCTAAAATTCAGACCTGAGCTGTCATTTCCCACTTAAGCCTTCTCCATGCCCGCTCTCACCTACTGAACAGAGCTTGAGCTCTTTAGGCGGCCTGCTGATCCTTTGTGATAGAGCCCTTTGCCTGGCTTTTTGTTCCATGTGTCCTAACTCCATACACGGTCCTTCCATACTACTTTCAGTTCCTAGAATACGACATTCTTTGGAGCCTGGCAATGCGTTCCTCCTTCATTGTGCATTCTTCACTCTGCACACTTGTCCACAAAACCAATCACTTCTTATCCTTTTCTGTCTAGCTTATTAGATAACCTGGTTTGGGTTTGCTGGTCACTTCTCTCTGTACACACCAGCGTTTAGAGTACTGTTCTCAATATGTATGAGGTACAGCATCGTGACATAGTGGAAAGAAGGGAGCTTTGGAATCAATTTTTTTTTTTTTTTTTTTTGCGGTACGCGGGCCTCTCACTGTTGTGGCCTCTCCCGTTGCGGAGCACAGGCTCTGGATGCGCAGGCTCAGCGGCCATGGCTCACGGGCCCAGCTGCTCCGCAGCATGTGGGATCTTCCCGGACCGGGGCACGAACCCGTGTCCCCTGCATCGGCAGGCGGACTCTCAACCACTGTGCCACCAGGGAAGCCCTCAAATTTGGTTTTAAGTCCTAGCTTACAACTTACTATGGCAAATTATTTATACTCTTGGAACCCTAGTTCTCCCATTTGTCAAATAGGAATAAGAATGTCCAAGTTTTGTGAGGGTTAGCAATAGTATATATGAAATACCTGATGCTATCTATACTTATAGTAAGGGCTCTATATATGATTGCCACAGTAGATTATATTGTAATTGCTTTGTTAGTTGTCTTCCTCATCTCCTTTAAACTATGACTTTGAAAAAAGGGGTTATATCATCTTATTTTTTCTTGTTCATCATTGTGGCCTCAGTACCTAGCAAAGACCCTGGCACATAGCAATTGTGTAATAAATATTTGCTCAAAGAATCAACCAAAAATCAAAGGTACATGAATGGTGAAATCTCTCTGAGAATTCATACTACAGCAGGATTAGAAGTAATGACTTTGATAGTGTCTGTAAATCTGAAGCGTATTTAAAACAGCATTTGATTTTCTGGTTCTTGAGTTTTCCTATGCTGACAAATGAACATGTTTGGAAGCTGTTTCTTCTGAAAGGACAGACTGCTATCAGCATGAAATGAAGGCCTGTATATAGTATAATCCCATGTTGTTTTACCATCTTAATCAGGTGTTTTGAAAATGGAATCTGGTACCTAAATGGCTCTGAATTTTGACTCTCAGGTGGAACATTGCATGTGAAGCAGGGAGTGGAAAGAGATAGGAGATGACCGGTCAATTAGAGGCCAGATGGAGGAGTACCTTGCAGTTCACAGTTATAACTTGGACATCCCCCTTTCAGGGATTTATTGAAGGATTTAAACAGGGATGTGACAGAACCAGATGTCTGCTTTAGGATTTTATATGGAGGGTGTGTACAGGATGATTCCCAAGGGAGCAAATCTAAAGAACATCCGGAGGTTGTTGAAGAACAAGGGAGATGATGAAGAGCTGAAACAAACAGTGGTCAGGACCAGCTTCAGGATCATGTGACCTGTGCAATCACACAAGAAAAGTCCCCGACTTAGGAAGGTCCTGTGCTTGTTTTCATGCTCTGTTGTCATTGTCTTGAAACTTCTAATAATTTTTGGAAAAGGGACCCTGCATTCATTTTGCACTTGGCCCTGCAAATTACTTAACTGGTCCTGGCAGAGGTAGTAGGAGAGAAATCATGATAGATGGTCCAACACTTAGGAGGATAAGTGTTCTGGTCCTCTTTGCTTTTCTGTGTATGTGATTTCCGTAGTGCCCTCAGGTTAATCCCTGCCTGACCCGAGTGAGCTGTGGGTGTTGGGATGAGTGGAATAGAGAAGATTTAAGCATTTGATTATAGTAATATAAAAGAGCAAATACTAAGTCTCTCTCCTTCAGTGAGGAAGTTTTGATGTCTCGTTCAGGCAGTGCATAGTCAGGATTGATTAAGGGTAGAAACAATTATCTATGTTCTTCTGTCTTTTCCTGATTAAAAAATAAAATTTTATTCTGTGTCCAAAAGAGGGGGTAAAATCATGCAAAGATACTGGAAGCCTAAGGCCAGTTCCTTCTAGCCTGAAGGATTGTGACAGCAGGATATCAGAGAGAGGCCTGAAAGGGACAGCGTCCTCTGGCATTCAGGTTCCCATGCTGGGTACAAGTTCACATGCCCCGAGAATGACACAGAAGTAGTGATGACCGTGAGAGCCTGGTTTCTGCATCTCGGCAGCTGTCATTTTTTCCGGAAGACTGGTGCTTACTCTCTCCCCATGCCCCATTCCAAACAAAACTCCCAAGCTTTGCTGCAGAATTTGACTTTGGAGCAGAAGTGCTGATACGGATTGAGGTTGAATTTCTTTACAGCCTATTGGGATAGGTGCTTAGAATCAAATTTAAGTTAATTAAAGAAAACAAGGTGTACTATTTCTGTTACCTAAATAGGAGGTTGCAAATTCATACCTGCTACATAGACATAAACCACTGTCTGGTACTAAGAAGACAGAAATATTAAGACATAATCTTAATTTCAAGAAACCCAGTTCCCTCACCGGAGTACTTTAAAGTATCTGAAATTGTAGCATTATATTCCTTCTTCATGTGTACGTTTAATAGACTTTCACGTTATTAGGAGTTATACAACCACACTATATGTGTACAGTTACGTATTGTTAAAACTGGTACATTTTGCATTACCTAACTGCCATAGTATGGGATTTAGCCTTATAATGCTCCTTCATACCTTTCCTACAATTTCTTTATGATAACTTTACCTTTCATCTTTGTATAATTAGGAAGTATTTATTTTTATGAGATCCTAAAGGAAAATAGTAACTACCAGCATGGGAAATAGATTTATTCCCACTTTCCTGCTTGGTATCCATTTGTGAGGACATTCTAGGCTTGTACAATTCTTAGTGCTTGTAAAAATCAAGAACATCATCTCTTGCTGAAGAAGGTATGGGCCCATCACTTTTTGGTGTTATTTTGTGTTTTCTCAAAACCGTATATAAGGGGCTTCCCTGGTGGCGCAGTGGTTGAGTCTGCCTGCCGATGCAGGGGACACGGGTTCGTGCCCCGGTCCGGGAGGATCCCACATGCCGCGGAGCAGCTGGGCCCCTGAGCCATGGCTGCTGAGCCTGCGTGTCTGGAGCCTGTGCTCCGCAGCTGGAGAGGCCACAACAGTGAGAGGCCCGTGTACCGCAAAAAAAAAAAAAAAAAAAAAAAAAAAGCCGTATGTAAGATTCTGGAAGTGATGCCTCTCTATCTTGATGGTCCCTGCTGCCCAAGTGTTTCAAATGTAGTCCACTGCATTTCTTACAGACAGCAGTAATATAAGTAGGACTAGTATAAGACTGGCCTGTGAGCAGCTACTTTTCTGATAGCTAGCCTATCACTTTTGAAGCCTGCATTAGAACCATATAGCAGTTATTATTGTCTTCTTGTTATTTATAATTGGCCCATTGACCTGTAAGCACTAATATTAATAGATATCTCTCGTTTTTGATTTTTACTTCATTTTCCTGATTTTTGAAATACAATATCTTCACTCTGGAACTTAGGAAATACTTAATGAAGAATTAAAATTGTTTCTCATAAGCTAACTTTTACGTTTTGGCCTGGATTATTTTATTTTTCCTATAAACTCGTAAGTACTTCCCATGAGACTGTGGTCTGTGCTAGGGATCATTCTAAGTGCTTTACCTTCAGTTAATTTTCACGATGCTATGAATTTTGTAATTTTCAGCATTTTTTGATGAGAAAACAAAGGCCCAGAGTAGTTAACTTTCCCAATGTCACAGAGGAAATAAAGGCAGAGGTAGGATTGGAACCCAGGGCTGGTTCACTCTGAACCAGGAAACAGTAGTGCCTTAGTTTGGGCTTAAATGGAACATATGTTTTGTTGTCTTTATTTTCCCATTAATATTATAATGATATAAATAATTCTGTTTTCATTAAACATTTTCATAAATATCTTTAATAACTGAAGTGTTCATTATATGGATGTTTTATAATTCATTCAATCAATTTATTTATAAATACTCTCCATGCCATTCCCCAAACAGATCTAATTTTGCAAGCTTTGTTGTATTGAATTGATTTAAGTTTAGTAAACTTAGTTATGTATTTCTCTCATTGGGGGAGGTTATTACCTACTCTGGTTAAATTTTAATGTAGATTTTCCAATGCATTTTAATTTTAGGAAATATTATACTGAGGGGAAACTATATCTCATGATGGAAGAAATATAGGAATCACCCCATTGAATCGGTGAGGGAGATGAAGCCGCAGTTCTGTGCTCCCAGACCCGCCCAGCAGATGGCACCTTCCCCGTGGAGACCTAAGTTTTCACACTATCTGGTAAGAGCTACAGTTTTCTTTGAATCATTGTAATTTTGTAGACAAAAAATGTCTTAGTTTTGCAGCTCTTGTCACTTCGAATTTGGAAAGATAAAGAGGAGTGTGCTAAAATCCAGATATTTCGTGCACTGAAAATTGAGGTGAGGTTGGGATAAAGTACATAGGAATGTCTGGGAAGGGATGGCAGTCGGATTCCTTTCTTCAAAATGCATCACTGCTGGTGCTGGGAAAACTGGACAGCTACATGTAAATGAATGAAATTAGAACACTCCTGAACACCATACACAAAAGTAAACTCAAAATGGATTAAAGACCTAAATGTAAGTCCGGACACTATAAAACTCTTAGAGGGAAACCTAGGCAGAACACTCTTCGACATAAATCTCAGCAAGATCTTTCTTGATCCACCTCCTAGAGTAATGAAAATAAAAACAAAAATAAACAAATGGGACCTAATGAAACTTAAAAGCTTTTGCACAGTAAAGAAACCATTAACAAAATGAAAAGACAACCCTCAGAATGGGAGAAAATATTTGCAAATACTGTGCATCAACTATACCTCAATTCAAAAATATATTTTAAAAAATAATAGCATTCTGAGAAGGGAAAAAAGAATCCATCACTGCTTTCTTCAAAATGCACCAGGGAACAAGATTTTTAAAAGAAATGTGGGGCAGTCGTAATTAAGACTTTGTTTTTGAGTTTTTACTTTTTGAACATTGAAATATTTCGTGTGGGAGGGAACACAAACAAGACTGAGAATAACCTGAGGCTGAAAACGTTTGCAAAGTAGAATGCCAGGTGCTTTCTTCTGTGTGGTAGATTTCTCAAATGTTCTCTACCTTTGTACTGTGAATATGTAATTAAAGTGGATAATGGAAAAGGAGATGTGAGGAAAAATAAATTTGCTTTTTAATTTTCAGTAATTTGAATATACTGAATTAAAATAACTAGGCAACATACTTTTCTGTCAAATCTAGTCTGGAGATGTGTTTAGAAGCTAACAGTTAAATAAAATGGAAATTAATGAGTTTTTTAAAAAATAAAGCTTCCAAAACATTTTGGGAATTATGGTTTTTACTTGTCATAAACGTGTACGTTTTTTTCTAATGTCAGAAAAATGCTTTCCCAGACTTGAATTATTGAGAAGTTTTTATTTTATTTTATTTTCAAGGAAGAGTAGCTTAAAATGGATTGGATAATTTCCAGGATTTTTAAAATAAATTCTGATCTGGGTTAAGACTGTTATACATATTTTCCAAAGATGAGGCAAGTTCGGGAAAATCAAAAAAAGTTTAGAAAATGAGGTTTTCTTAGCAAGAAATGGATTTTACAAATTAACTATTAAAAAGCCCAGTTACTATATATTTGATTCAACCCAATAAAATCCAAACAGCTTTTTTTTTTTTGGTGGAAATTGAAGCGCTAACCCTGAAATTTATATGAAAAAGAAATGTACCTAGAATAGCCAAAATTATCCTGAAAAAGAACAAAGTTGGAAGACTCACACCACCTGATTTCAAGACTTACTGTAAAACTACAGCAATTATAACATGGTGGCAAGAATAGGCAAAGAGACCATTGGAACAGACCATGTACCATCAATTTTCGACATAAAATATGTAGTCAGGTAATTTTCAAGTAGAGCTTTTTAACAGAGTAGCGAGAGTCTTCTCCATAATGGAGTCAGACCAAGTAGATAAATGTGGGGAAAATGAACATTTACTCTATACAGAAATCAGTTCAAGGTGAATCATAGAACTAAACAAAAAAGCTAAAACCACAAAGCTTCTGGAAGCGTATATAACATCTTTAGAACCCTGTGTTCGGGGAGTTTCTTAGAGTGGGCACTAAATATAAAATTAAAAGTTAAAAATTGGACATTATCAGAATTAAACTTCCATTCATCAAAAGCCACTGTAGAAAATGAAAAGTAAAGCCACAGACAGAAAATATTTGCAAAACATATATCGGACCAGTGATTTATATTTGGGTTATGTAAATAATTCCTACAAATCAAAAAAAGGACGACTTAACTTTCAAGTGGGAAAATATCTTAGAGAACTTTACCAAGGAAGATCCCTAACTGACCAATAAGTATGTGAAAAGATGCTCAAGATCAAGGGTCATCAAGGAACCGCAAAATAAAGCCAAAATGAGATGATGCTACACACACACTAGAATGGCCAAACCTTTCAACACTGACAATACCCAGGATTGGCAAGGATGCAGAGCAACTGGAATTCCCACACGTATTGGTGGGAGGTGTAAAACTATTCAACTAACCACTCTCCTGGGTTGAATAGTGTCTCCCCAAATTAATGTCCACCTGGAACCTCAGAATGTGACCTTATTTGGAAACAGGGTTTTTGCAGGTGTGTTCAAGCTAAAATGAGGTCATAGTGGATTAGGATGGATCCTAAATCTGATGACTGGTGTTTTTGTAAGAAGAGGGACATTGAAGCACAGGGAGATAGGAGGCATACAGGAAAGAAGGCCATGTGAAGACTAGGTAGACATTGGAGTTATGCTGACACAAGGCAAGGAATGGCAAAAATTGCCAGCAACCGCCATAAGCTGGAAGAGGCAAGTGTAAGGGTTCTTCCCTGGAGCCTTCGGAGGGAGTTTGCCCATGACAGGAACTTGATATCCAGCTACCTGATTTCAGAAGTTCTGGATTCCTGAACCCTGTGACAATGCATTTCCTTTCTTTTCATCTACCCAGTTCGTGGTACTTCGTTATGGCAACCCTAGGAAACTAATACCACCACGTTAGAAACGTAGGCAGTTTCTTATAACCTTAAACATATATACCTACCTTAAAACTCAGCGATTCCACTCCTTGGTATTTACCCCAAAGAAATGAAAGCATATGTCTGTAAAACTATTTGTATAGGAGTATTCATAGCGGCTTTAGTTGTAATAGCCGAAACCGGAAAGAAATCAAATGTACAAGAAGGGAATGAATAAAAAATTGTTTTATATTCATATAATCAAACACTATTCAGCAATAAAAAGGAATAGACTCCATAGCATGAATGAACATCAAAAAACCAAACGAAACAAGACAAGACAGTAAAAGAAGCCAGAAACAAAGAGTATTTATACTCTATGAGTCCATTGATATGAAGGTCAAGGGCAAGCAAAAGTATTCACAGGCAATTAAAATTAGACCAGTGAGGGGAGGAGTCGACCTGAGAGGGCCTGAAGGGACTATCTCAGACACTGCAAAAGTTCTGTATCTCGACTGTGGAGGTGTGGTGGTGTTGTTTAAGTTAATGTGTATACATTTGTCAAAACCCATTGGGCTATAGACATAAGTGGATGCATTTTATTAAATGTAAATTATATTTCAACAAAAGTGTTATAAAGAAACATAAATCTTGGAGCATTTCACCATATATAATATTTACCTCAATTTAAAAAGAAGAGGGCCATGGCCGTGAGCCATGGCCGCTGAGCCTGTGCGTCCGGAGCCTGTGCTCCGCAACGGGAGAGGCCACAACAGTGAGAGGCCCGCGTACCACAAAAAAAATAAATAAATGAAAAGAAGAGAAAATCCTCATTTAATTTAATGGAAATGTTTATCCCTCTTCTGTTTTTGAAAAACATACTAATTATCTGCTTTCAGAACTCACTTTTAATTCTTAGGCAGTAGATTATCTTCAAGTGATTTATTTTTATTCTCTAAGTTTTCCAATCTACCTTGAATGTAAGAATCCATACAACTCATACAGTCAGAGTTCACTTCTGTGCATGTTGGCAAAGCCTTAGGTCTCAGTTTCCTCAGTTGGGAGGATTCTAATAACTTATCAGGACATAATTTGCCCTGTTGGCTATTTTGTTAGGAAGGGAATAGGTCACTTGCAGGGGCCAATCAAGTGCGAAATAAAAAGACCTGTACTTCAAACTAAGAATGCACAGCTTTAAAGAGCATTCAAAATGTTCTTGGGCATTTTTTCAGATGGGAGGAACAGACAGAATTTGGCCTGTCTGAGAACAAAGAACAAACCAGCTTCAGGTGGGCAGTATCCAGTTCCGGTCTGACAGCTTCTTGGCAAGTGTTATATGTATCAAGCTCGACTGGATGGAAAGGAGGACCTGAGGGGAAACACAGCAGAAGAGTGGGGGCAGGCAAAAGAGAGAGGGAGGCCCCTGGAGGGGCCTAGGGAATCCACACTGCCCAGCTGCTTCTGTATTTATGGTGCAGCGCCAGCGCCATCATGTGGTCATCAGTGGAATTTCAGAGGAAGAAAGGAATTCTTTCCCCACTACCTTTGAAGAGTGGAATAAAAAAAAACAGTCACCCAAAGGGCCTGAAAAACTTTGAGAAGGATATCACCGTATAATTCTTTTCCATTTAAAAGCTGAAGGGATTCTTGACATCTCAATTAGTAACACATCTGGACTCGTGTTTGTTATCCAGATACCTGTTATCTGTTCATTCATGGAACATTTATTAAACACTGTGCCAGACCCTGTACTAAGCAGGAGAAAAGCAGGCATCATGGTCTCGTGAAGCAGACAAACCTGTGAACAAAATATTAGAGCAATCATACAAGTACTGTAATGCAGGACTGAAAGAGACACTGCCACTGAAAAGGAGCCAAGTGGGAGATTTTAATATTTCCCAGAAATGCTATGATGTCCCCTCCGCCCCTGCAATTTGGTGCTATAATCTTATTCCCTGAAAGGCCTGTGTTGATCCTATTGCTTTAGTCACTTGCCCATACACTTTTTTTTTTTTTTAACATCTTTATTGGAGTATAATTGCTTTACAATGGTGTGTTAGTTTCTGCTTTATAACAGAGTGAATCAGCTATACATATAGATACATCCCCATATCTCCTCCCTCTTGCTTCTCCCTCCCACCCTCCCTCCTGCCCATACACTTAGAAAAAATCTAGCTATAATTATTGATTGATCGATGGATTGACTCAGTAATTATTTATTGAGATCCTACTATATGGCAGCACTGTTGTTAAGTGCTGGGAGATAACAGATACAAAGGGAAAAGACAGAAAATGTTTCTTCTTTTGTTAAGCTTGTGTGTGGGGAGTGAACTGTTAAAAAAATGTCATAGGTCATGTATATAAAACATAGCTATTTTCTTTTTGCTTATTTATTTTTGTTTTTATTTTATATTTCCCACCCATGTCTGTTGTTCCTTAGCTTGTGAACAGTTATTCTAAGCTATTTCAAGTTAGTTTGAGATTTTTAAGTCAGCTTGGCTTCTTCCTTAAGGATTCTGGGAAATTGATTTAACTTTCCTCCTCAGAAGGGCACTTGGGTTTCATTTATTTGTTAAGCCACAAAGTCAGAATTTGGGACAAGACTTCTAGCTTAGCTCTATTAAATGCTTCATTTGTCAGGTTTACTTCCTCATCTCAGTTTCTCCTGGCTGCTTTAGGGTCATGCATGTAATAAACATGAATGGTATCAGAATTTTATAATCAAAGTAGCAGATCTTCGGAAGCTGGCAGCACGCTGCATACACACCCAGCCCCTGCGCCTTGGCACTCACAGCCATCAGGGAGAGGATTGCAGCCTCAGCCCCTCAATCACACAGAGTCGGCTGTCTTTCCATCTGCTCCAACTTTGGGAGCCAGAGCAGGGAACGGGGACTCTTCTAGTGACCTGAAATGAGAGAAAATTTAAATAATCATACTGAACTCACTGGAGGAGGGGGCCAGGAAGCCCAGAGTTTCCGCTTCAGGCTCAACTACTTTCCCCAATTTAATCAACCCAGTGGCTCATACCTGTAAGCCTATCAGCTTCCTGTTCATTTAAATTTGCAGGGAGTTTTGTTTTGTTTTTTTAATAAAACTGAAGCTAAATAGAGATTATGTGTTATTTCATATAAAGTACAGTTGTAAATTCTGTGCTGTGGTAACTTTCCTTTAGCTCCAGGTGTTTCAGACATTAAACACAAAACCAACTTTATGCTCTTTATGAATTTCAAGGAAAAAGTCTTTTGATTCATAGTGCCATCTGAGAGGAAAAAAATGTAATCTTTGCCAAAAAAACCAAACCTGTCATCAACAATAAAAAAAAATCCTTTGGCTAAATTTCCGTATATTTACATGACCTGGTCACAGTTGTTAAAAATTTACAGTCTACATACATTTGATAAAAAAATTGAAACATTGAAAAATTCTCCTGTGTATCGCTGACTCAAGCCTTTAAAGACATAAATCTGATCTGTGTATGCTTCTACAGAGAACAGTTGTTTCATCAGAATTTTAAACATGTTATTGGTCACTATTAAAACAAGTCCAATAAAAGAACTGAATCCTCATTTAAAAATACATATTTAAAATGTTTTTCAGACTTTGAAACATCACCCAAAAGCATGCCTTGCAATTTTCTTTCTGAGGTCTTTGCATTTAGGACATATGAACCGACTGTTTTCCCTTTGTGAAGAGCACCTGTGCTGCTCTCATCCTAGCGTGCCTCTTCAGGGTATTAACTGCTTCCAGAAAACCATCGTCAGTTGAATCGGTGAAGCATCCTCACTGCACAACAGAACAGGATGTACTGATGAGATAATCCTTTCCTTTGTGAAGGGCCAGTTTGAGAGACAGGCTGGATGAACGGCACGCATTTTTTTAAAGTCGCGGTTCACAGCCAGCTTCATTAAACTGCATTAATAACCTTTGCAGTTTTATTGCAGCAACAACTGGTGAGCATTCTGTTGTCAAATAAATAGGCTTTTATATTAAAAATGGATACTCTTCTCACAGTCATATATTTTTAGAGAACTTATTTCCCTAAAATTTCCCTCAGCCTGACCCTAAGGTACCTGAACTGTCTGATGAAGGTCATCAATAGTGTAAACAGTTGAGATAGAATCTTCATGAATAAAGTGACACTTTCTAGACTCATCCCTCTCAACCTCCAAGTCTATACCAATTTAACAGAGTCTTGAGTTGTCTGTAAAATTATCTCAAAATATAGGTCTCATCTATATGTTACTCTCATGGCCTAATTAATCAAATACTACAAAGAAAATAACATTGTTTTGTATCCAAGGCAACAATATAGTATATTGTGCCTTTACTAGGGTATTTTTGAGCTTGAATTTGAAAATCAAGTGTCAATTCCATAGCCATAGCATTATTTACTCATTTTCATGAAGGATAAGAAGGCTTGTATAACTTGACACTGAGAATAGAAAGAGTTATTTAAAGATTATTGCTCTAGTTCATTGCTTAAAAAGTTCCTCATCTATGTCATGTAATAACAATAATAACCGCAGGGCTTCCCTGGTGGCGCGGTGGTTGAGAGTCCACCTGCCGATGCAGGGGACACGGGTTCGTGCCTCGGTCCGGGAGGATTCCACATGCCGCGGAGCGGCTGGGCCCGTGAGCTGTGGCCGCTGAGCCTGCGTGTCCGGAGCCTGTGCTCCGCAGCTGGAGAGGCCACAACAGTAAGAGGCCCGTGTACTGCAAAAAAAATAAATAATAATAATAATAGCCACAATTAAATAATAACATTGTTGTGGTCCTAAAACACTGTGTGCTAGATGCTGTTTTAGGCACCTCACATATACTAACTTATTTAACTCTTATGACAGTGTTATGAGATTGGTATTATTATTATCCCCATTTTATTGAGGAGGAAACTGAGCCACAGGAAGGAGGAGTAACATTCAGAGTCTCATAGAGAGGAGGTGGTAGAGTCAGGACAGAGTCTTGTCACACGCTCTTCCCGCTAAACGAATCCTCTCTATAATCTTTTTTTTTTTTTACATCTTTATTGGAGTATAATTGCTTTACAATGGTGTGTTCGTTTCTGCTTTATAACAAAGTGAATCAGTTATACACATACATATGTTCCCATATCTCTTCCCTCTTGCGTCTCCCACCCTCCCTATCCCACCCTTCTAGGTGGTCACAAAGCACCGAGCTGAACTCCCTGTGCTATGCGGCTGCTTCCCACTAGCTAGCTATTTTACACATGGTAGTCTATATCTCTCAATGCTACTCTTTATCTCTAGGCTGAAATCCTCCTTCAACTTCATATCGGGCTGCACACCATCTCTTCCCGAACAGCCCACCAGATCATCAAATTCAGCACGTTCCAGATGGCGCGGAGGATCTGCTGCCAGGTACCTGCTGCCTCCACCCTTAACTCCGATCGTCTAACTTACCTTCCCAGTTGTGATGAAGATGCTGTCAGGCTCTGCTCTTCCGTCCCCGTCAGTGCTTGCCTCACTCACACTTGGTCCCAGCCAATCCCATATCCTACCTATGAGACACCTTTAGCATCTCTTTCCTCTTCCCTGTCCCCAGGCTCCATTCTCTCCGAGGCATTGCTTATCTTTAACCTGGACTTTTGAAATTGACCTTGAGTGGTTCTTCCTATCTCCATTCTTTCTTCTCCAATGAATCCTACACATTAGTCGCAATGAAACTTACTAAAACATACTTCAAATCATTCCTGCTAAGAAAATCCTAGTAGCTTGCTTATAAAATGAATAGTAAGCTCCTAAACTTTCCACTATAGGTTGTTCATATGATAACCTCAACCTTGTTTCATTCCTTATTGCCATTGCATCCTTCTGTCTCTGCCTATCTGTTTTTGCTTGTGAAATGTTCTTTAATCTTATTTTGTTATGTCTGATCCACCATCCCAATACCAACCCATTGCTTCCACCTCACTATTGTGTCTCTCCCATGTTCTAGATGAGATGTCCACTTGTTTGGCCAAATCTTCTTTCCTAATTTTTCAGGTCTCTCCCTTTCTCTTCCTCCCCTTCGCTAAATCTTGGTTCAAGAATTCTTGCTTAGGCTAGAAAAATGCTTCCTACCTAACCTACCTAATCTCCTTCATTAAACCCACTCAGCGTTATCACGTCAGGGTAACAGTATCAAAACACACTCTTTCACCTTGTCAATTTCCTGTTCAAATGTTAGAAGGACTTCCTATTTACTACAGATCAAACTCCAAAGAGGCCACCATATGACACAACTACAGGGACACCCATTCAGGTTTTATTCTGTTGGAGTCCTCAGACTTCTTAGTTTAGCCTTAAGCAGTATTTTGAGAACCAGTAGTAGAAATGTTATTATATTACAACCTGCCGCTCCACTCTCCCGGCCCCCGCAAGGCATATACCATCACCAAGAGAAGATGGGCCATTACCTTCAGGTATGTTGGGGAAGCATTGAGTCAAATAGGTTCTCCTTCCTGGAGGATGTTCAGATGTCTTCCATATGCTAATGTGTATTAGGAATCTCCAAAAAGAATGTCTATGGACAAGAGTTGTTTTTGTTTTCCTCAATCACTCTTTGCTATTTCCCAGGACACCAGAGTTCTCCAACCTAGAGTTTAGGGAAGCCTGCCCTCCACATTCTCTGCTCCTGTCGTCGCCCCAGGTCAGAGGCCACCTCAGAACTGCCTTCCCGACCATCTTGGTGGACATTGCCATCCCTCCTCTATGCCGTCCTCCTGTTTTATTTTCTTCATAATACTTGTCACAATTTGATGTGATGATGCTTATTGCTTGTTACTTATTGTTTGTTGTTTTTTTCCTCTAGGATGTAAGATCCAAGGGAACCAGCATTCTGTCTTGTCTGTTACTATCTTCTCCACGTAGGATAGTACCTGATACACTTAATGCGGGGTGTTTTTTTTGGAGGGAATATATGTTCCAATCAAAAGCCTTGCTTGTGTCCATCTCCTTGTTCCTCTCCCTACCTAACTGAATTTAGGCTTATGTTACATGGTTGAAATAAAAGTTTCTCCTCTCTGAGGTTTTCCCTGATGGCCTGACTCATCCCAAGTAATAGCTCTTCTACTGAACTTCTGTAACATTAGTATTTGAATAAGTCAATTTAGTTTGAACAGTTAATATTTTTTTACATAGAAATGCTACCTTATTCCCCCAACTATAGGGTATTTGCCTTGTGGCCAGGATTGGTGTCATACGTTGGATATCTCCGAAATAACCAATACATGGCTTCTCAGGTAAGCAGTAAATATCTGTTACTTGATAAAGTAGATATTCCCATTCTGTTCCCTTGAAGGATGCAGTGTCATGCTCATATGTGGATTGGCTGGGAGGGCTCCGTCCTAGCAGGAAGTATATCCCCTGCTGGCAAGGAGGTAGAGAGAGGGTTTCTACAGCAGGAGAATCTTAGGGACTTGCTTTGGGCTCTCCTGTATGTGTGCTTTCTGGCATTTCCACGTGTTTGGTAAGTCTTCCTTGCCAGTAGCTACGTGGAACAGAAGAGGGGGAAAATCCCCCTTCTGGCCTACAGAAAAGGAATTGACAGAGTATGATCAGTCATAGAGAGGGGGAATATGGACCTTGCAGGGAAGCAAAGGAAAATGTACCTCTTCTCAGTTTGCAGAAAGGTAGTTTGCACTTAAACAGCAGTTTTTAAAAGTTTGTGTGATATGCTGTTTTGAGAACCTGTTTCCTTCAAATGTTTATTTTACAGTATTTCTACACACATTATTTCATGTACAATATGACAGAGAAAAAATGTGGAAGATATAACTGATCAAATAGTTTTGCTAATAGCCAAGAGGTTTTCAATTTAAATATGATGGATTCTGTTTGGGTGGAGATGCTATACATTCTCAACTTTAAAATTATTTCTTATTCTCAGAAGAAGTAGCTATAATTGGAAGGAGTTGCGGTAAAAAGGTATAATGATGAAGTTAGGGAAATAAGGGAGTTTGGGATCGAATAATACAGTATGAGTGAAAATTCTTGTCTCGTGTATACGTAGAGGGTCTTAAATTCAGCAGTGCCAGCAAAACCTCTCTGACGTCAGGGACCTTGGATTGAGATGTTACTTCCTGTAAAAAATCAATAGGCACGTGCATTTTTATGTAAGTCCCTTAAATGTTAATCCATCTTTAAAATTATTACAGCAATTCTATTTCTTTTATGTAGAAATAAGATGTTCTTTGTTGAGACAGGTTAAGCTGTTGGGTCTTCATCCAAGTGATGTGGCTTAAGAACATCTGGAGAACCTACCCTTGTTTTCTTATTAATGGAAAGCTTGTAGGGCTTAGTGATTTATAACTTCTCTGTATTCTAACACACCATCTGATTTTTTCTTTTTTTAGAACTTTATTTCATTTGGAACCTTTATGTGATGATGTAATATGCCACATATGAAACTTTTCTAATGAAAAAAGCCAGTATTTCTGCTGCAAGTCAAATTGCATAGCCAGGAGGGGCATGATTTGGAGCAGACTCCACCTAAGTGTTTGGATCTTCTGGAATGTTGTCAGGGTGCTAGTTTCAGCTTGTCTCCAACCTTTCCATCTCAGCCTAGCCTGGGACCTTAAGATGAAACCTACCCACAGGTGGATTTGGCAGAGCTTTGAGATACTCTGTGAGAGAGAAAAAAGAAAAGAAAAGCGTTGGGTATCAAATACATTTGAGGAATTGCAGAATTCTAAATCTGCTGTTTGAAAACTCTCACGGCTTATTAGCATATTAAGGCTTTGAGAATTCCTAGAGCTCTACAAAATTGGGTCTGTCCTGTTCCCTTTACTTTCCTGTCTTCATCTCCCGCGTCTCTCTGTCACTCTCTAGCAACTCAATTGATATGGGTTAGGCACAGGCACTTGTCTGTGGGTCTCCCGGCTGTTGGGTAATCGAGGAGGCCCCAGTGAGATGACTGGAGCATCTTAGCTCTGTTGCATGCGCCTCTCATCCTTCAGCAAGCTAGCAAAGGCATAATCTCCTGACCGTCACAGAGACACAAGAGCCAGCAAGCCCTTCAGTGTGCTTATATCAATTTGCTAATGTTCTGTTGGCCAAATCAGGTCACATGGCCAGGCACAGACTCAGAGCAGGCAGGCACTGCAACGCTACAAAGCAAAAGGTGCCGATACAGGAAGAAGTGAATAATTTGGGTTACTTTTGTAAACTACCATATGTGTTAGAACTTAAAATTTTTTTTGTTTCCCTCTACTAGAATATAAGCTCCACAAAGGCAGGTTTTTTTAAAATCTATTTTGTTAACTACTTACTTTTATTACTTAGAACAGTGCCCTGCACATACTAGGTACTCAATAGATATTTGTGAATGAATGCATAAAAGTAAACCCATTTAACTGTGTTTAAGCCAACATTTTCAAATATGTTTTTCAGTTGATCCCATTATTAGTGGAAAGCCAGATGAAATTTCATTGGAAAGTAGAGATCCTTCGGATATCTATGCCTTTCTTACTGAGGATGGAAACTCCAGTAATTAATGGAAAATGATGATCTTTACAAAGAGAAAAATCTCTCAGTATTTATTTTGCCTCCTTTCATTCACCTAACTACTAAGTTTTAGTAAATGACTTTCACGTATCAGGTGTGTACTAGATGCTCATGGTAGTGGAGAGCGAGAATACAGCTCCTGTCTCTGGGAAGTCTCAGATGAGTTGAAGAACAAACCTATAAAACTGAACTTTGACCAATATGATATGCGCCATTGTAACGTTGTTAAAACAGCCCCCAAGAACACTAAGGAAGAAGTGTTCACATGTGCCATAAGATATGAGAGAGAGCATTCTACCTTTGACTATCATATCTATTCAGACTGATAAAGTCACTCTTCTAACACAACTTGCATATTGCCAACGTAGCTGTTCATACCATTTAATCTCTTTGCCCATCTGCACATTCACCCTTGTTCTCTGTTCTTTCCAAATCCTACCCATTCTTCAAGTCTGACCAGCAATGGAACATTCTCTGAGTTTGCTTACAGTTTTCCCCTGAATTCCATAGCATTTATTGTCTGTATCATAGTCATGTGTAATACCTACAGACATCTATTCTACTGTTTTTTAATTGACTATTTAACCCTCCTATTGTTCACCTTTTCATGTGTGACTGTTTTGTCTTTTCAAAGAATTAATAACCATCTTGAGGGTAGAGTTTGTGTTTCTTTTCTGGAATTGCTAAAAATAATGCTTGCTATTATAGGTGCTCTGATAGTTAATTAGAAGGATATACTGAAAACTGAAAGTTTTAACTTCCGTTCATCACCTAATTATGGTCAGGCCTGATAATGCATGTGAGCTATTGGCTGTCAGTACAGAAATATTTCTACTTAGAACTGGTGTTTATGTACTGTCTTTATGTTGGAAACCAGTTACTACTTTATATGAAGCTGCAACCACAAGCCAGTATTTTTAACAGGTTGAAATAAAACTGACAAATATTAAGAGGTTTGGAAATGGGTAAGAGAAAATTTTAAAATGGTGAAATGGCGAACTATAAATGCACAGGGAGTAAAGAGATTTCTCTACTGGCAAAGAATATGTTGAAAAAGGGAACAAAGAAAAAACAAAGAAGTGTTACCTGCTGATTTTTGGCTCCAGGGCAGAGCAGTGAAGCATTTGTCATCTGTCAATTAGTTTTGCAATTTCTGTACACCTGCATATTCTATCCATTAGCCCCATAAGAGTGCCCTTTAGTGGGAAATTTTGCTTAACATGGTACTTGACGTGTGGGAAACTCCCCAAATAAACCACAAAACAATCAAATCAATTCATTTAGGTTGAGAAGAATCTGAATCTTACATTTGACTTGGAGGCCCTTGAAAAAGGCAAAAAGGATCTCATCAATATTCCAAGTATTCACTGAAAGAAACTGCTCCAAGTCATAGTAATGATGATAAGAGAAAGGAAATTGTTAGTTTACTCATAGTCATAGTAATTAAAGCATAATAATCTATTCAGATCCTATTAAAGACTGTGTCTCACTCAATACATTTCCGGGCAGGTTTTAGGCCACAGGCCATTCAAAACTCCTTTTTCTTAAGTTCTACAGTCTAAGGAATTTCTTGCGCTCATTCATGGCTCTCTCATATTAGGGGATGGGTGCTGTGTACAGCTGATGGATTAGCTTATTGCTTATGAACTTATTTCCCATTTTAAGTGAATGCATTTTGTTGGAGGTCCCATTGGTATCTGTATGGTATGAGTATTCATCTTTAAGCCTTATCCTTTTGGAATGAGCTGACTATGGACGTCTCCACCTGCATAGTTGAGAAACCTGTTGCTGGACTCAGAGTAATCTCACGAAGGTCAGAAGCCTGACCTGGAATAATTTCTTTACCTCAAAAACTGGTATTAGCTACAGACATCAGTAAGCACACAGTATACTAGAGCACATACAATTTTTTAAAAAAGAAATGTTATTTTTGCTGTATTCTATTAAACTTGAATTTACTTCATTCTCACATTTTTCCTTTCATTTATGCTATATGTAGGTATTATAAGGGAAAAGATTGTTATTTGATTACATTAAGATCAGTCCAGTCCTAGCTAATACAATAAGACAAGGCAAGACTGAGAAAGAAGATATGAAATTGTCTTTATTCACAGATGATATGATCATCTATGTAAAATATCCAAAAGAATTAACAAAATAACTCCTGGAACTAATGAACAACTACAGCAAGGTTGCAGGATACAAGGTTAATATACAAAAATCATTTCACTTCCCTGTGTACTAGCAATGAAAAAGTGGAATTTGAAATTGAAACTATAATACCATTTATATTAGCACCCCCCAAAATGAAATACTGAGGTTATAAATCTAACAAAATATGTGCAAGATCTATATGAAGAAAACTGCAGAACTCTGATGAATGAAATAAAAAAAGAACTAAATAACTGGGGGCATATTCCATGTTCATGGATAGGAAGACACTATTGTCAAGATGTCAGTTCTTCCCAACTTGATCTATAGATTCACTGAAATCTCCTTCAAAATCCCAGCAAGTAGTTTGTGGATATTGACAAACTGATCCTAAAGTTCATATGGAGAAGTAAAAGACCCAGAATACCAACACAATATTGAAGAAGGAGAACAAAGTTGGATGACTGACACTACCTGATTTCAAGATTTACTATAAACCTACAGTAATTAAGACAGTGTGGTATTGGGGAAAGAACAGACAACTAGATCAATGTAACATAATTGAGAGCCCAGAAATAAATCTGCATAAATATAGTCAACAGATCTTTGACAAAGGAGCAAAAGCAATACAATGAAGCAAAGACAGTCTTTTCAACAAATGGTACCGGAACAACTGGACATCCACCTGTGAGTAATGAATCTAGACACAGTTGTTACACTCTCACAAAAATTAAATCAAAATTGTTCATAGGCCTGTGCATATAAATTTGAACACAAAACTATAAAACTCCTAGAAAATAACATAGGAGAAAACCTAGATGACCTTGGGTATGGTGATGACTTTTTAGATACAATACCAATGACATGGTATATGAAAGAAATAATTGATAAACTGGACTTCATTAATATTGAAAACTTCTGTGAAAGATAATATCAAGAGAATTAGAGGATCAACCAGAAACTGGGAGAAAATATTTACAAAAGGTGCATCTGATGAAGGACTATTATCCAAACTATACAGAGAACTCTAAAAACTCAAGAATAAGAAAACAAACAACCTGATTAAAAAATGGGTTAAAGACCTTAAGAGACACCTCACCAAAGAAGATTTACAGATGGAAATAAGCATTTGAAAAGATATTCTTCATCATATGTCAATAAGGAAATGAAAATTATAACAACAGTGAGATACCACTACACACCTATTAGAATAGCCAAAATCTAGAACATTGACAACACCAAATGTTAGTGAGGACATGGAGCAACAGGAACCCTTATTCATTGCTGGTGAGAATGCAAAATGGTTTAGCCCCTTTGGAAGACAATTTGGTATTTTCTTATACAACTAAACATACTCTTACCATGCAATACAGTAATCATGCTCTTTGGGATTTACCCAAAAGAGTTGAAGACTTATGTCCTCACGAAAACCTGCACATGGATGTTTATAGAAGCTTTATTCATAATTGTTCAAGCTTGGAAGCAAGCAAGAAGTCCTTCAGTAGGTGAATGGTTGAATAAACTGTGGTACATCTAGACAATGAATATTATTCATTGCTAAAAAGAAATGAGCTTTCAAGCCATGAAAAGACATGGGGGAAACTGAAATGCATACTACTAAGGGAAAAAAGCCAACCTGAAAAGGGGACATACTGCGTGATTTCAATTATACGACACTCTGGAAAAGGCAAAACTATGGAAACAATACAACGATCAGTAGTTACAGGAGGTTGAGAGATGAATAGTAGGAGGACAGAGGATTTCTAGGGCTCTGAAAATATGTGTAATACTATAATGATGGACACATGTCATTATGCATTTGTCCAAACTCATAGACTGCACAATGCCAAGACTGAACCCTAATGTAAACTGTGGGCTTCAGGTGATTATGATGTGTCAGTATCAGTTGTAACAAATGCAGTACCCTGGTGGGGGATGTTGATAACGGGAGAGGCTGTGGACGTGTGAGGGCAGGGGGTATATGGGAATCCCTGTACCTTCTTCTCAATTATGCTGAAACTACTCTAAAACAACTAAGTCTTAAAAATAAGTCTATTTTAAGAAAGTGTAGATAAAACAAAGTTAAATATTAGAAAATCATTTTCAACATAAAAAGAGACATGAATGGGTAAGAAAAATAAATACGTTCCTCCCTTCACAGGGCAAAAGACATGAGTTTATAAAATTAGAAATGCAAATTTTAGAGTGTTATGCCAGCTCTCACCTACCAAACTGACAAAGATTCTTTTTAAAAACATTTTTTTACTTTTAATACACTTTTTTTAGGTTACACTCCATTTATGGTTATTAAAAAATATTGGCTGTATTTCCCATGTTGTACAATACATCCCTGTAGCTTGTCTTATACCCAATAGTTTGTACCTCCCACTCCTCCACCCTATGTTGCCCCTCTCCCCTCTCCCCACTTGAAACCACTAGTTTGTTTTCTATTTCTATGAGTCTGCTTCCTTTTTTGTTATATTGGTTTGTTTGATGTATTTTTCATATTCCATATATAAGTGATATCATACAGTATTTGTCTTTGTCTGACTTATTTCACTTAGCATGATACCCTCCAAGTCCGTCCATGTTGTTGCATATGGCAAAATTTCATTCTTTTTTATGGCTGAGTAGTATTCTATTGTGTGTGTGTATGTATACACCACAATGTATACCACATCTTCTTTACTCATTCATCTGTTGGTGGACACTTAGGTTGCTTTCATATCTTGGCAATTATAAATAATGCTGCTAGGAACATTGGGATACATGTGTCTTTTCAAATTAGTGTTTTTGTTTTTTTAGGTATATACCCAGGAGTGGAATTGCTGGATCATATGGTAGTTCTATTTTTAGTTTTTTGAGAAAACTCCATACTGTATTCCATAGTGGCTGCCCCAATTTACATTCCCACCAACAGTGTACAAGGGTTCTCTTTGCTCCACATCCTCACCAACATTTGTTATTTGTGTTCTTTTTGGTGGTAGCCATTCTGACAGGTGTGAGGTGATATCCCATTGCAGTTTTGATTTACATTCCCCTGATGATTAGTGATGTTGAGCATCTTTTCATGTGCCTGTTGTCCATCTGCATTTCCTCTTTGGAAAGATGTCTATTCAGTTCTTCTGCCCATTTTTAAAATTGGGTTGTTGTTTTTTTGATGTTGAGTTGTATGTGCTCTTCATATATGTTGGATATTAATCCCTTATGGGTCATATCATTTGCAAATATTTTCTCCCATTTAGTAGGTTATCTTTTTATTTTATTGATGACTTCCTTTGTTGTGCAAAAACTTTTAAGTTTAATTAGGTCCCATTTGTTTATTTTTGCTTTTATTTCCTTTACTTTAGGAGATGGATCAAAAAAGTATTGCTGTGATTTATGTCAAAGAGCGTTCTGCCTATGTTTTTTCTCTAGGAATATCCAGTCTTACATTTAGGTCTTTAATCCATTTTGAATTTATTTTTGTATATGTTGTTAGATAATGTTCTAATTTCATTCTTTTACATGTAACTGTCCAATTTTCCAGCAGCACTTATTGAGGAGACTGTCTTTTTCTCCATTCTATATTCTTGCCTCCTTTGTCATAGATTAATTGACCATAAGTGTGTGAGTTTACGTCTGGGCTCCCTATCATGTCCCATTGATCTGTGTGTCTGTTTTTATGCCAGTACTATACTGTTTCGATTACTGTAGCTTTGTAGTATTGTCTGAAGTCAGGGAGTGTGATACCCCCAGCTCTGTTCTTCTTTCTCAAGGTTGTTTTGGCTATTCAGGGCCCTCTGTGTTTCCATACAGATTTTAAAATTATTTGTTCTGGTTATGTGAAAAATGACATTGGTAATTTGATAGGGATTGCGTTGAATCTTCAGATTGCCTTGGGTAGTATGGTCATTTGAATAATATTGATTATTTCAATCCAAGAACATGGTATATCTTTCTATTTGTGTCATCTTTGATTTCTTTCATCAGTGCCTTATAGTTTTCTGAGTACAGGTCTTTTACCTCCTTAGTCAGGTTTATTCTTAGGTATTTTATTCTTTTTGATGCAATGGTAAATGGGAGTGTTTCCTTAATTTCTCTTTCCAGTAATTCATTGTTAGTGTATAGAAATGCAACTGATTTCTGTATATTAATTTTAAAGTTAAAATAGAATTTACAAGGAAGACCAGAAACAGGGGCTCTCATTTAGTTCTGGAACAATTCTAAATTGATACCATATTTTGGAGAGCATTTTTATACCATATTTTCCTTCCATTACTTTCTGTAAAAACTTATTCTCAAACCTTCAGTTTGATATTTGGAGGACGAGAAGCATAACTCAGTCTTGTGGTCTTTTCCTCCCTTTTTTCCCTCTTCTCCTTTTCCCCCTCCCTCCTTCTCCTTCTTCTTCTTCTCTTCCCCTCCCTACCTCCCTCTCTCCTTCTCTTAAATGTTGAAAAATGGGAGGTATTTAGTCAGTGAAGACCAGTGTTGAAGTTTATATCTATCTCTTCTCTAGTACAAAATGTAGATAATATAGAAATTTTTTTTTCTGGATTATTTTTCTTGCCAAATGGTAAGGAGTTTTTCAAGGCCACTCTAAAGACTTCCTGCCTGTGTACTCTCGGCTCATTGTACCTCCAAGTTTCTGGCATAAACCATTGAAAGGAATTTTTTAAAAATGTGCTCTAGGGCTTCCCTGGTGGCGCAGTGGTTGAGAGTCCCCCTGCTGATGCAGGGGACACAGGTTCGTGCCCCGGTCTGGGAAGATCCCACATGCCGTGGAGCGGCTGGGCCCATGAGCCATGGCCGCTGAGCCTGTGCGTCCGGAGCCTGTGCTCTGCAACGGGAGAGGCCACAACAGTGAGAGGCCCGCGTACAGCAAAAAAAAAAAAAAAAATGTGCTCTATTAAATTTGATAGGAACATTTGCATTTTGTAGAGAGAAGATTCACACATGATATATTTGATTTCAAGCTTTCGCAGACTTCTTTTAATTTTTCACTAATATCACAGGGCAGAAACTAGGGACTTAAGAGCCATTTGGTTACTTTGCCTAGTCAGACAAGCTTGGGATTCCTGGGGAGAGGGGCATTCCAGTGGGACAAATAGACATGCAGGTATGCACTGGACACAGAATTACTGTGCGTATATATTCAAGACTGATGTGGACTAACAGTAATCACCCTTGCTCAGAGGCACATTTTGACTGCCCTGGATTATTATTCATTAAGTGGAAGATTTCC